GTAAGTTAGCCATCTGCGTCTCTAAGGAACCCATTCTCTCACCAACACCCTGCGGATCACCCTGATGGTTTGCCGCAGGGTCATTCCGCTCCTCAGCCATGATGAGGTCGGTTGATCAAGCCGCCCTCACAGTCTCGCGTCGAACACAGTCCAGGGGNCCAGAGGACTCCACTCCCTCCCTCTGTTGTGTCTCAACCATCGACGCAAGCACCTGCTGTTGGTTCGTAACTAACGTCAGTAAGTTAGCCATCTGCGTCTCTAAGGAACCCATTCTCTCACCAACACCCTGCGGGTCACCCTGATGGTTTGCCGCAGGGTCACTCCGCTCCTCAGCCATGATGAGGTCGGTTGATCAAGCCGCCCTCACAGTCTCGCGTCGAACACAGTCCAGGGGGACGTACAGCAGTCGACTGATGTCGCTATAGCGTGTTGGTAACTCAGTGGTTTCTGGGGAAGAATATTGTATTTGTGAGACCTAGGTATGGAGAGACAGGTCGGAAAGTGGAGTGAGGACAGGGGGCGAGCGTGATGCTCCCAGCTCCCAACGTCTCCTCCGGATAGATGCACACTCGGAACACAAAGCAATGCACCGAACACGACAATGACCCGTAAGCCCGACCTCTAGCGACAATGCTAGAACGTTCCTACTGGACAAGTGTCCAACGTACCACATACCAACGTACCGACTTACACCTACGGTCCGTTGTGCGATCCTTACGTGTGTACAATCTACCGAACTACCACAAAGAGTATTCGCAGAACACTCGGCATGACAACCTACGATCGACAGTTCTGCAATTAAAAATATCCAATCAGATGTTCTACCGCAGCTCAGGCGATACATAAGGCCGCTACCACGAACAACCGTCGTCGCACAGCCGTTTCACCGCAACTTTCAGCCGAGCCCGGCCCAGAGACAGACAAGAGACCGTTGCGAGCGGCGAACAGCAGAACGTCTTCCACCGCGTTCTCCTCGGCTTCGCTCAGGACGATCCCAGGACCGACTCTACCGTCCATGGACACGTTGCCCGCCAGGCAGGTCGCGACCGATGCCCGGCCTACACCAAAGGAGGTGGCCGCCTTCCCAAAGGACATGCCGCCCATGACGGCTTCGCAGGCCCCCTGAGCCTGCCTGCGCTTCGTCCACCCTACGCCGGCGGCCCACATGCTAACTGTTGAAGCAAGACTTGGGGGCTTGTCCGCACGGGCGAGCGTGCTGGCTGCTGTCCCGTTGCTGCTGTAACTTGTGGTTGGATGGTCGGATCGCCAAGAGCTGCGGATCGTGCGTCTCACACGGTTTATCAGGGCGTGTAGTATAGGCTCTTTGATGAACAAGGAACGGGGAACAGGGAACTCAGAATTCCCTGTTCCCTGTTCCTGGTGGTTGTGTCTTAACATTGAGACTAGTCTACACCGCGTTTCCAGGAACACGGAACAACAGTTCAGCGCGCGCGCGCGGCCCGCAGATCCTCACAAAGGCAACAAACACAACCATTTGATGCAGCAAGACGAGTGGGGGGTACAGGAAGGAGGAGTTGTTGTTGTTGTTGTCTTCACATTAAAAACCATCCCGGTCTCTCTATCCAGTACCTCCTTCTGTCTCAATCTCTCCGTACTAATCCATCACTTGACTCGGCCAATTTCCGTGGTCACAGGCTAACGTACCTAGAAAAGGTATACCAAAATAAAATGGACCCCAAGGGTCAGCAGAGCGA